AAAAAAGTTAATCGTCCAACACCCTTCCGACGTTTTTAAATCTTACATAAACTCAGCCAGCTAAACTTACTTATAAGTTGGTTCATCGATTTGGAATAAATTGCGCAGTTTGATGGGCGAAGTTCGCAACAAAAGGCGAGAATTGCCTATCGCGAAAGACCGGCCGAGGATTTACCTCCGACGCGGAAGTATTTAGCGAGGATACCGATATCGTTGGTTTGTCTTCTCTCGAATGGAGGTGGAATTTTCTGCGCTCTAGTCTCTCGCTCGCGTAATGATTCGTTTCTCGTTCGCTGTCAGAGCTTTCCGCGCGAGTATCACGGAAACTCGCTCTTTTGTCGTCGCGCACAAAGCGTCCCTTTCATAGTCGGCGCTTCGAATGACATTCGCCCGGCGTTATTATATTAAACGTCGAGGATGCCTTCACGAAGCAAAAACAAACGTTTGTTATCTCTCGCGCAGTTGGATGCTAAGGTGAACGCAAGTTTGGCAGAAATCCATGCGAGACAGGACGCCCGCCTCGATGGCATAGCCGATTCATGCGTAGTCACGAAGGACACCGTTTCACTGGCCGCAATAGCTATCATAGGCAATACCAGTCTGTGCGTCGACAAAAAACTAAATGAAATAGAATCGTACATCTCGGATATTTATGTCCAAGCAAGGCTAGCCATGGATGACATTAAGGTGCTCGGAAAGGACGGCGACGACTGTATAAGCGACACTAATGAAATCACGCAAATTCCCAAGGCGATTGTTTGTCTTTCCACGGTGAGTTGTATTTTTCATTCGTGCGATCAACGGAGATAGCTTACATACAACGTGCTCTTTAAATATTACAACGACGTTATATCGTTGAAGGTGACTGCAACGGCAACACTGGCACTGGGCAATACAATTCCAAGTGTATATATGGACATAGCGGCACTGTCGACCACGATCTCAAATCTGCAAATAACTCTGCCAATGTGCTTGCCAATAAGCGCTCTACAAGTACTTGCCCAAAAAGCCAAAGGCATAGCCGAGAATATCAAAGACTGCATCGAAGAGAAGATCGCTATGGTAATGCGGGAAGACAAAAATAAGTCGATGGCGGAGCGTCCGGAAGCACCGATCAACGAGCAGGAATCGAGCAACGCGCTTCTCGGCAAGCGTCCCGAAGTGCAGCAGCCTACCTTTGACGTCAAATCCGCCAGCGAGCCTGGCGACCTCGCGAACGTTCAAAAAAGCGCCAATGATCATTTCTAGAATCCCCGAAGACTCGTTCACAACTATGAAAAGGTCAATAAAATTAATAGTCAACGTTACGCAACGCATTTTATCGCTCTTAACGCAACATTAAACTCGATGAGCCGACCCCTCCCCCATCCAGGAAAAGATCCAATGAAAATAAAAAATAAAGTGAAATATGAGTGTGAATAGTTGCGTACGACCAACTGTATTTGATCATCGTGTGTAAACACGCGATTTCCTGTGTAAAAAGTGCGCAGGAAAATGAGATTTTCAACTTGCAAAAAGGAGAAGTGGCCCGTCGTATCGCACGGCTGAGCGGAGAAGCGTGCGAGGCAGCTAATTTCGCCGAGCAAGCTCGACGATTAAGGCCAGCGGCGTGACGAGCTTATCAAACCGGCGGCTCGCCTGCGAAATACCGCACCGCGAGCGACGCCGCACGCGGCCTGGCCAGACGTGCATCGTCGCGGCGCAAAGCCGCACTCCCTCCGCTCTCGCGTCGAGCGATTCCGCCTCCACTCGATTAGTGGGCCCCGTTGCCGGGAAAAGACGCGTTTCGCCGCTTTGGACTTCGGGCTGCCGCCTCCAGGCTCGCGAAAGTCGACGTCGGACGCGAATCCGATTTGCGCGCGGGGCACACGGTCGGCCACGACTGCCAATTAGCGATTGCGCGACGCACTCACTCCCTTTGAGCCTTTGAGCGCTTTAATTCAAACTCGCGAGCCCGAGCTTTTGGTTGATGGAAAATACGCGCGAGCGCGCCGACTGCGGAATCCGCTTGTCTTCGCTGGGATTATCGACCGCTTCCACGGCGATGGCTTCGCTGCGATTCTCTCTCTCGATCGCAATCGTTCCGCACCCGTACGCCCGGACGGAAGAAAACGCGCGAGCGGCGCGGCGGGCGACGAGGGAAATCTGCCGCGTGCTGCGCTGAGCCGCGACAACGCGCACGACAGCGTTACGCAATTCTCACGTGCGCGTTTGCAATTTTGAGCCCCCAACCCCCTCCACCCTCAAGGACGATTCTGATCTTCAACGGCAACGGGCAAGAAAGGCAGAAGACGACAATTTCGACGCGCGCCGCCGAATATCTGGGGATGGGAAAAGTTTTTGGCTGATTTCACGCGGACGTAAATTTTCAATTGTGTCCACTCGGTACTCGTGGGCCGTTTGGCTTTGCGAAAATCCGGCGAGAAATATCGAAAGGATTTTGTTCCAATTAAAACGCGCGATGAGATGTAAGCCCAATCAATCGTAAATATCGCGAGAGAGGCGCCGCGCCGCGATAAAACAAACGGCATGCACGCGTAAGCAGCGAGTTATCGGGCGCAGCAGCCAAGGGTCGTTATTTTTCTCGCGCAACTGTTGTACTCGCAGCCCCCACGCCCATACGTAACGCGAATTGCCGCGGCGCTGATTATTCCTCGAGAGGCATTTTAAAGCTTGGCCTCGGCGATGCGCGCGGCGCGGCCCGAGAAAGTGAAACTCGAGCAAACTTTTGCGCTGTAAGTAGCCAGCGCAACGCACACTAAATATAGCTGAATGAAATCGAGCTCGTTGTGCGTTTGTGTGTTCGTACGGCTCGCATGACAAAAGGGGGGAAAAAGGCGCCGATGTTATAAAACGAATTTGCCGCTTTTTCTTATTGTCGAAGGCCCCCGGAGCGAATGAAAAAAAAAAAAAAAAAAAATCACACGCGCACGCGTGCATCGGAACCAGAGTCAGCGTCTCTCCGAGCAATTAGCGCGTAATTCCGTTAGCGGGACCGGGTGATGGAGAAAAGAGAATCGAGGCGCGCCCAGCGCGCGAGAAATGTAATTTATCCGCGTATCTGGCCGGCGACGAACGGGCGTCATTCGATTTGACGACGACGGCGCGGAAATTGAGAGAAGAGACTCGTGCCTCGCACTCGACTGCCCGATAATTGGCTGTCGAAATTTTAGGTAAACATCGCGATAACGAGGCGCTCCTCTACCAGCCTACCACCCTCTGCCGGGCGCTGCAATTCAATTTGCCCAGCGGACCCGAACACTTTGTCGGGATCGAAGGGGCTGCGACAAGGAAAATGCTATTTATTGTTCATTAGGGACGAATAACTCTGTAGGGAAATGAATGCTCCAGTTTTGAAATTTGAAACGAGAGGATTTTTACTTCTCATTTCGAATTGCGCAACTTTGCTTTTCATTTGTTCAGCGATCGTCAAATGTCCCACTGAAAAATTTATTTTTAAAAAGTTTTTCAAACAATATACTTGACGTCAGCGAATTTATCTCGGAAATTGATGCAATTCATGGTATAGGATAGCTATTTCTATTTTTGGAAAAACGTTATTCCTCCCGTATTATTTTGAAGAAATGCCTTTGTAGCTCATTTTTTTTGTGATCTCATATTTGATAACTTTTAATTCCAATAGCAAAATGAGTTCCACGAAAAGTTACAAGCAGGGAAAATTTTTCACAATTATGGAAATTGATTTATTTTCGATTTTTGATATTTTAATCCATCACAACGCGTTGGACTAAGTTTACATGTGCTGTTACTATAAAGCGTCAGTTCCATTCAATTTCCAGGTCACAGCTGTATTTTATCAGTCAATATCATTGCTGCACCCTAGCGCAGTCCACATTTATCTTCAAATGAGAGCCGCCAATCAAAATACGTAACAACCAAAACAAACAACTAATTATTCGCACGTGGTCAAAAGTTAAAAAAAGAAGAAGAACAACAACAAACAAAAAACAGAAAAGAAAACCAATCGAAATAGGCAGGCGCGCAGAGTCGAAGGAAGGCTAAGAAATCGTTCTCTTATGAATATTTAATTGCGAGAAAATGGCAAGCAGTCGCATCCGCAGGAAATGTCGTGCTGATGCACAACCCACCCAGTTTGCGTATCGAAGAGGCGTTCGAGAAGGTCATCCTCGTGTGTTTAAAGCGAAATTCAAAAAAAAGGAGAGAGAGAGAGAGAGAGAGAGAGAGAGAGAGAGAGAGTGCACGCGATCTTTCGGCGCTGACCTCTGAGCAAACAGCACGCAGCATCCGCAAAGTTACCCGCGCGTAGAGATACGACGCTGCTACGGTATATACACACCTGCACGCTGGTACACTCGCGGATCAATACCTACTCTCCGTAACGCCAGCCGTTCCTCGCGAGACGAAAGTGCCGTCAAACTCGCGCTCCTCGCTCGTCGGAATTTCGGCGGTCACGCATTGGCTTTCGCCTCGTCGAGTGCTGTCCTGCTGCTCGCGTGACTAATATAGCGGCGACGCTACCGTGACGAAGCGTTGCGAATAAAGCGCGAAAGCTCTCTCTCGCGCGCACGCCAAGCGAACGTCGCCGGGACGCGCGAGCGCGATGTGTTCGTCGGCGAGGAACCGCGTCGCCGAAGCGAATGGCGGCGCGAACAACGAGGCGCTCAAGGTCATTTCAATAATTGATCGCAGGAGGGAACCTAACGTCACGAAGTCGCTCGCAAATAATGGGCAAAGGAAGCGAAAAAGCCCGGCGGCGGGCGCTCGTCGATCGCGCGACCAGCCCTTTCCAGTTGGAGGCGCGCCTATCTACTTTTAAGACACGACGACGACGCCGGCAACAGTGCCCCGCTCGTCCGGCGATTTATCGCCTATCCATTTTCTTAACATTTGCGCATTATCGGCTTCATTGGCGGATTTATTTATAGCACGTCGATCGGATTGACACACATTCAACGGCTCAACCTACATTGCGAAATATAAACGAAAAGCTAGTCTGGTTGTGTTTGGATTGGTTGATTCCGGGACCGCGCGCACGCGAATCCCGACTACCAAAAATTATGCGCTCGAGATACCCACTAGGAGTATTCGCAAGGATCAACCAGCAAGCCGCGTCTTTCCCGAGGAAAAGAGGTGCAATGGCTTGAGTCTCCCCCAGGAGGAGCCGCCTTCCTGATCGCGGTATCCTCCACGCCAAGTAAGTTATGACCTCGGCGACCTTCCGCCCTCGATTATCAGCCCTCGACTTGGCCAAATTGTTTGCGGATCGTCGATTCGAACGGGTTTTTGGCCTCCGCGAACCCTAGCGGTCGACTTTGTTAAATAAACTTTCTCGTGGCTCCGTTGAATAAATGAACGTCGGCCGCGAGGGTTATGTTAGCTCGCGCTGGTTCCAGGACACGTCGTTTCAATTCGATTCGCGGGGCAGGGAGTACTGGAGAGGAGCGAGCAGGGAGCCGCGCTCGAAGGAAACATCTCGGAGAAATCCTCGGACAAGTCGTTCGCTATCGCGCCCTCGAGGTGATGCCCGCCCCTCCCGAGGAGCTACCTGCTCGCTGCAACGACGCAGCGAACGAGCAAACACGCGCGCCAAATAAGAACGCAACAGTGGGCGATTAAGCGAGGCCCGATGTGACCTTGTGCAGTGGCTCGATAAGGAGGCAAATGCTTTACAGAGCCAGCCTCGTTACTCTCGAAGCTCGTGGAGCGAGAGCGACACAGTTGACGGCCCGTCGAGCCCTCGGCGTATCGATTCGCATCCACGGGAAAAGAGGACACACTCGCTCTTGGACGTCGACCTTTCTGCGAGGAGTTGGCCAAGGAGGATCGAGGCGCGAGCCACTTGCCGATAAGCCAATCGCCGCGCGCGCCTCGTTCGGACATTGTCGCTGACCATCCTCGAGGCTCCAATTACACGCCGACTAGATCTTTGACGAAACCTTGGCTGGCGTGACGATGAAAACCGCTTGGAAGCTCGTTACTTTCTCGATGAGTTTGCTTCCCTCTGGCAACGTAAAGTCGCTGCGAGCGAGGATCGTTGAGGTGAAACTCGAATAAAACTGTATTATCGCGGCAATTCAATCTTAATCTCTCCCTCGTTCGTTCGGAGAACAGGTCTTTCCGTCCGTATACACGTGCGGGTGCAACGTGCAATAATCCGACTACGGCGTTGCCTCACGGTCGCCAATACCGTGACTCGTTCAATAACAGAGCTATTAGGACAGCAAAGATTAGCGATGGCGAGGCGCAAATCGAATCGCAACGATCACGCGGCTGTTAAACGGCAGGGAGGGCAATCTCAGCCAGCCACCGCTGCGTAGCATAGCAACGAGAGCGGCGCGCAGCGCTGGCGGTCGATCGCGCGATCGCGGAAACGCAATCGACACGCGCCGTGGGAGTGCCGTCGCCGCCGGTGCGTGACGCGCACTCGGCGAGTGCCTCGCGCGCTGCCGCGCACGGGGGAAAGCGCGCGCCGAAAAGTACCAAGCGTAGATGACGTGTGCGAAGGATCAAGGTCGGCAAAGCCGCAGCGCAGCAGTGGAACGACTCTCTCGCGTGCGCTATCGAGTTCGTCGCTGTTTCTGTTGCTCTCCTCCGCCTTTTCCTCCTCATCGATCGGCGATACAGCAGCCTCGCGCGCGCGCACGCTCGAGCGCCAACCAGCTACAATCGATAGGAGCGCTTACCTGTCTCGCCTGCAAGACACTGCTGGAAAGGCGAGCGAGCTTCCGTTCAGCGCTCGGCCGTCATGCTTACAAGCACAACCCCGTGGCCGTACTCGCGCGC